GGCCGCAGCACGCGCCCGGGTCTGTCACAGGCTGTGGGAGGACAGTGGGATCACACCCTGTCTCTCCACATCAACTGCCTGGAACTAGCCACAGTGCTGAAGGTGGTGAAACACTTTGCACTGGTGCTGAGGGGCAGACATGTCATGGTTAGGCCATAGTTGTTCTCTTATGAGAATGCTCTTTAGAACTGTTGAAGAAAAAGAAGGAGGCGAGCTTAGGTCACAGTGGCAGTTATACTGCTGCTGCGGACCTAACTGAGGACAGCCCAGTGCAGGGTACAGGGCGCGAAAGAATCTCTTCAGGACTGCGCATGCGCGAGGGATAAACCCAATAGCGACAGCTCTTAGAGGGCTACACCTATACTTATAGAAGCTTGGACGAAGCCCATACGAAATAGAACCATGAGATATAGTTGAAAGCTCTGGAAATACTCTTTTGTCAAACTACTGTTTCAGAAGAAAAGAATCAACTTTCAGACTGCATAAGGATATTTAGACTGGCATTTTGACTTCAATATGACCAGTGCATACCTGAATCAACACTGCAAGTAATAATAACTTTTATAATCTGCTGCATAATCTCTTGATAAAGTGAATAATCTTTTGGCCTTTAGAGTGCCATTAAATGGTGACAAATGCCTCTCACAATTTCCTAAAGCCCATGATAACATCTTCAATTTGTCCGATTCCTTCAACTAAAAGTCCAAACCCCCAGAATATTCAATTTACTATTACGCAAGATAAAGAAAACCAGCAAAACCTAGTACTGGTGGAAGCTGAGAAAATATGGCGCTGTGATTGAAAAAATGACAAACTATTATAATCAAAATGTTCATGTCAATTTAATGATTGTTTCAGAACTAAACTAAGAAATACATAAAATATGGGCTGGAGCTTAATCACCATTTAATGATGGAGCCAGTATAGGCTTAGTTACTATGCTTACCATTAGGAAAGGCCAGGACACTGATGACCAGGAAGAAGGAAACAACCACTAATAAACCAACTCGGAGGTTGTCGTCTGATTGCTTATCATCCCTTTAACAATATCACAAGATTATCTTATGCTCCCGCTTTACATTCAGTTATAGGCAGTTAAAGTGTGGGCCAGGAATGGTTTCATACTCATTTAACGGGTATAATACAGCACTTAGCTTCACACTGTTATTTACCTGGTAAATGCAAAGTACATGAGACTGAGCACAGTAGCCGTCAGCAGTGTGATAGTGTGTGGCTTGTAGAAAAAGTCAATGCAGATATCTTCCACTTGTTGCTCGTTTATCATTCGGAAATGTAACCTATGGTTGCTATCATCCTTCCGCGGTGTTCGGGGGGTGACAGCGGCTGCCATGCTTCTAGTGTGTGTTACTTTCTGAATTATACCAATGTGGGCTTAAATGGCTAAAAATAGAGGTTGTGAAAACAAACGCAAAGACACGACTACAGCTCCACAAGCCACAACCCAAATGATGGACTGAACCACAGAACAAAAAACAGGGGAGGGGGAAGGGTGTATAATACTTGTAAATGCGCGGTAGTAGTCACCAAAATACAAATAGAAACACAAGTACAACAAATTATTTAATTTTGCAAGTAACTGTAGCCCTCGTATTCAATTAAATTTGACAGTATATATATATATTCTTATTTATGAGTATATTAACTGCATTTAGCTATACCCACAAATATGTCGTTGTAATACATTCCTATTTCCGTTCAGTTTTTCCGGTACTGTGCACGTGAAAACAGTTGACGTTGTGCGACATCTGAGGATGGAGTTGTATTGAGGGTCTGTGTTTTGGGGTCCAACATTGTGGGGGGATGGAGGTGTACTGAGGATCTGTGTTTTGGGGTCCAACATTGTGGGTTAAAGGTTAGCGTTAACTCTCTAAAATAATGTTTTGGCTTTATTTCATTTGAGGTATTTCATGGCGTACACATTCTTGTTATATCGCTAGCTTTCTAGGATGTAACTCACGTTAGGTTTTGCTATAGCTAGCTAGCTTATTGTAAGAGTCACAAATGTCTTTTATACATTTTCTTCATTATGGAAAAATTTAAGAAAAAGTAAATCATTCTAAATCCCTACATCTTGTAGATAAGGATAATACTGGTGGGTAAGTTTAAGCTTTACACGTCACACCAAGCAATTGTTTTAACGTCAGGGGACTAAAGCAATTCCTATGAAATACTGGTGTAAATACACGGCAGATAACAGAATGTGCATAATCAGAATTAGTAAATCGTTACGTCTCATGGCGAGAAAATTTGTCTTTGAACTTGTCTCACCAGAAAAACACAATGAAGTTACAAAAGTACACATATAAACCTATACAGCTGTACAGAAAGTCGTAAATATGTTAACTTTAATTGTCATAGATAAGCCTATGCAGACTGCATACTGTACACGCACTACTCTTCTTTGTAGTCTCGCACTACCAGTAACGCAGTATATCATAAAAATCTGACCTGTATGTGGTGAGATGTCTGACTCTTACGTGTACATAATAGCTATATGTTTAAGGTACTTAGATTTGTTTAGCTTATTTTTTGTTGTTGTATGGGGTTATTATGTTGTCCTGTAAAAGCTCTTGGATGTTGACAGTAGAACATCCTTGCCTAGAGATAAGCATAACTTAATTTCTGTATTGAATAGCATGCCACTCAAACATGCCTTGTTCATATTTTCTGCAGAGTTGCCATGGCTCTATCCTGTGCACAGCTATGTCTGAGATGCAGAAGTCTTCTTTGCTCCAAGACAGTGGTCGTTACCTGGCAGCATTCCACTCAAGTTTGGCATTGCGATACAGTCAAAATTCTAAATGCATCCTCATTCATCAGGGGGAATTACACAACAAGTTGGGCAAGACAGAAGTGGAAACATCAGATGTTCTGTTACAGTGACATAGCTACAAAACATCTGGCAGCCGATACTAAGCAAGACAAGTACAGAGAGCAGTTGTCAAAAACTGGTGTTGTGGCATCCAAGAACACCCTGTTGCCCATTAGAGAAGCTGTTCCAGTGACTGAAAGTCAGGTGTCATTAGGTAGGTTTCCTGGCTTGTTGTAGACCATAGGGATGTATTCATTCAGCCTAACCATTCATAATTTGATTTGAATTTTATTGTTTTTGTGGTAGAGAATTGAACATGGTATCTTGTCTATTTTTTTTTCATTTATCAGATCTGGATGCTGTTGCTGAATTTTCAGCATTAGAGGAGATTAGTGATAAAGAGGCAGTCAGTATATGTGTTCCTACAGCCATGCCTCCAGCCTCCATCTCTCTCAGAGACTACGTTGACAAGTCTGAGATGCTGAGCAAGTTGGTACAGCTAGGTAATCCAATTCTAGCGAAATAAGAGAGAGCATTTTAATCATATTTAATTTAACAATTTAGAACCATAAGTGGTCTTAGAATTGTCTCTTTTTTTCTGCTCATCCAACCTTTCCTCATCATTGCAGGTGTTAACCTGTGGAAGCTGGAACAAAGGCCTAATGTGGGCTCCATGTTACTGAGGCTCGACTTCAACACAGATGTGGCCCCAAGGCTGCTGTTTCTTAAAGAGATTGGGGTGGAGGACTCTCACTTTGGCTATATAATTACGCACAACCCTTTTATTCTCACTGAGAATTTGGACAACCTGCATGCCAGGTGACATGATAAGATCTCTGAAACAGAAACACCAGATGCCTTCATTTTCACCAAATGTCTTTAAGTGAAACCAGTGTAATGAGATAGGTCACCACATGCATGAAACTTTCTGGTGTTTACTGTATACTATAGTAGTGACAAGTCATTTTCATTCTTTGCAGTGGCACCTGCCATTAGACTGTCATAATGTTCTCTTTTTGTTGTTTGCAAAGGGTGAACTATCTCAAGTCAAAGAAGTTCAGTTCTGAGACTGTTGCGTCCATGGTTTCCAGAGCTCCGTATCTGCTTAACTTCAATGTGAAGAGGTTGGACAACAGACTAGGTTTCTATCAGAAGCAGCTCAGCATCAGTGTTTCCCATGTAAGCATATTTCTTTGAGTATTATCACAATGTCTTGTAATTTATGCATAAAAATAAATAGTGAATTTAATGACAGAAAGAAGAACAAAAAAATAATAGCTGTTTTTATTTCCAGACTCGGAACATTGTAGCCCGACTACCCAGACTTCTGTGTGGCAGTTTGGAGCCTGTTAAAGAAAATCTGAAGGTATTGATTGACAAAAGAACTCATTAGCATCTATTGTTTGTGTGACCCCTTGGGATACTTAATATTTTTATCCTGTGTGTGTGTGTGTGTGTGTGTGTGTGTGTGTGTGTGTGTGTGTGTGTGTGTGTGGGCAAATGCGATCCACTTAGGTATGTGAAATAGAGTTTGGCTTCAAGAAAAATGAGATCCAACACATAGTTATCGCCGTCCCTAAGGTGCTGACTGCTAATAAAAGGAAGCTAACCCAAATATTTGACTTCATTCACAACACCATGAAGGTGCCACACCACCTGATTGCCAAGTTCCCACAGGTACATTTTACCAGTTTACCATAAGCCTGAATGAAGTGTATTTACGTTATATCTGTATTCAGCATTTTTATTTGAGTCAATTTTATCCCATAGGTCCTGAATACCAAGTACTTGCGTGTCAGAGAGCGCCACCTATTCCTTGAGTACCTTGGAAAGGCACAGTATGACTCAACCCTGCCGAACTACATCTCCCTGGACCGCCTGGTGTCCTTACCAGATGAGACTTTTTGTACTCAGGTGGCTCTTGCCACAGTGGAAGATTTTTATTTGTTCCAAAAGACACTCTGAGTCTTCATGAGGGGACATTAAAAGGGCCTTCAGAAAACAAGTGGTCATTTACACTGAATACATATCATCAAGTCAGATACATGCAGACATGGAAGTCTTTAAAACAGTTAGAGCATCACTTGATTTTGAAATAAAGGTGTTTTTTGTAAATGTGATATAAAATGGAGGTTAACAATGGATATTTTCGGCCTGAAATACTGTCTGTTGATTTTTAAAGTGAGTATCACCCCTGCGAAATAGGCATAAAAAATTTGCCTTTCTTCAAATGTTAATTTACTTCTTTTTGATTTTGTTTTGTTTATGTTTCATTTCCTGAACTAAAAAAAAAAAAAAAACTGAAGTCCAAAAGTTTAGACACCCTATTAAGACTACTACTACTTAACCCTGTAAAGCCTGACACATCAAAAAATAGCCAGAGCATTCTAATTTTTTGGAACTGAGATGTTTATTAAACCTTTTAACAAAATCCAAAAGAAAATTCAAGAGTCAAGATTTTTATTTGCCATTTATGAATAGACAGTCCAGGCATATAAGAATAAATGTGCCATGGTATGTTGTTTATTTTTATTTTTTTGTATCACTTTTGATACATGGGGCATTTTTGGCGATTTTTTTTTTTTTTTGCTCAAACTCGCGTAGCAAATACTGTATGATACAAATGGCTTTATATCTGATTCTGAGAGTATTTACACTCCCCATTGATGAATATCAGAGGTTGCAACTATTTTTTGATTATGTTTTATTATTATTTACAGATTACTTTACTGAGCATATAATATTTAGGATGCTCACAGATTTTCAGCAATGTTCAAGTGGGGGAACTGTGAGGTCCCATCCAAAGATCGACTTGCTCCCGAAATTTTCCAAAGCTAATGTAAAGTTACCCATAACACACCGCGGTCGTTGACAGTGGTAAATATGGCGTCGAAGGCACCAGGTAAGTGAATATCGCTGCTTTATATTTACAACTTTAATACAACTAACCAAATATAATGTTATAATAATACGGTGTGACACATTATACTGTAACAAATGATATTGTGTCATGTCAATTTTTCCGACTGAACACGTCTTTTGACGCATTTGACCTGTGTCCTTTAGAGTGTCCCCGTGCTAACTGATGCTAAGAGTGCTTATTAGCTAACGTTAGCATAGCACTTACAAATGCAAAGTAAAAGTATATATTTTTGTTATAACCAGACACGTTCTGCTGTCCGCTTAGTGATAAAAGTTTCGTTGTGTGTGGTTTAATAGCTGTAATCGAGTACATATAGCGTTTTATGTTATGCTAATAGCTATACTTTGATATCAACTAATGTTAGCTCCTTACCATCAGAACTAGCATAGTGTTGTTTCATCTGTCATTCCAATATATCTAAAGTTGTTAGCAATATGATGGACAGGTTGTCTGCTGTTTGCTACCTAAAGTAGTACAGTATTACTGTGGTATTTTTGTGGATTAGAAGTATAAAGTATCCACTTAGTTACCAACACTGCAAAGACACAGATCATCTGCAAGGTTAATGGACAGGAAAAATACATTTGATATAAAGTAGTAGTAATATTAAATCCTTTTTGGAACTATACTGATTTTTTCACACATCTGCTGCTAACTTTTAAATGTGCTCTTCTTTAAGTTTGTGCTTCCTGACTGATCCTGTCTGTGTGGTGTGTGTCCTCCTTGTGTTCACAGCAGCGACAGGCAGGCTCCTGGTTGGATTCCAAAAATGGTATTACAACTTGTGTGGCTTCAACAAGCTTGGTAAGGTCAAAGAATAATGATTTGGCCAGAATATTTTTGAGTTTACAACCCAATAATTCTACCAGCTCTTAGACAACTGCATGAAAAGACCGTCAATGAAAATTAAAATGAAGGGAGAAGACATCATTGTCTGGGATATCTACCACCTGGCATCTTCAGCATTGTGTTTTTGCTGTGTTAGGTTTAGTGCGTGATGACACACTCTACGAAGATGCAGATGTGAAAGAGGCTGTGAAGAGGCTTCCAGAGAATGTGTACAATGACAGAGTATTCAGGCTCAAAAGAGCCATGGATCTCTCCATGAAGCATCAGATCCTCCCTAAAGACCAGTGGACAAAATATGAAGAGGTAGACTAAAGAAATCTGAAATACGTTTTTGCTGAGAGTGGATGTGGGGGTTAATATAAGGGCATATTATACTGCATTGTTTCCCCATGTACCGATGTGTAGTTTTAAATAGGACATGGATAATTAGCTCATTTTACTTATTTGAACTAACGTATGTAGCAATAACAGTGTCTCCATCTCAACTCACTAGAAGTCTCAGGTCACATCTTGATTAATTTAAGCTGTAATTATGATTTAAGCTATCAACATCTTATATACTTTCCATCATCTTTTTCCTTTAGGATATCCGCTACCTGAAACCATATTTAGATGAGGTGATCCGTGAGAGGGAAGAAAGACAGGAGTGGATGAAGAAATAAGTTGTTCCTGATCCGTGCTGTTAATTCTCGTCTTCAAGTCAGTGCATGGTGGTCCCCTGGTGTAATATTTAAAATGAAATGTAACCTATACATGAGTGCTCATTAAAATGTACATTTTGGAAGATGTGCAAGTGTCACTTTTTAGGTTAGGGATAGTAGGCTATTTGACATAATGAAACTAACATTTGTACACCTCTTTAAAATAGGGTCTGCCCCACGTTGCATGTTTGTACTGTTTACCTTCTCAAATCCAGTTATTTGCAACATTTAAGTAGGAATATATGGTAAATGGACTGTATTTATATAGCGCATTTTCACAGTGTGTTGCACTGGCCAAAGCGCTTTACAGGGAGATCATACACCATTAACACACCGATGACGACAAGGCTGCCAAACAACAGCGCTAGTCAAGCCACCGGGAGCAATTCGGAGTTCAGTGTCTTGCTCAGGGACACTTAGGCATGCGGGGATACCGGGAGTCAAACCACCAACTTGCTGGTCAGAAGACGACTTGCCCTAGCTCGTAAGCCACAGCCACCCCAAATAGTGTATATTTATAAATATACACTAGATACATCTAACAAAATATCTAAAGCAAACTTCAGGTATCTACCATAACTACCGCAGTAGTTAAATTATTTTGCACTGCTCACCTGTTTGACTTAGTAGGCAGTATTGGGAGGAAAATAATCATCTTCTGCTGAGATATGTAGTTGGATATGAAATTCCTGTATAATGAAGGTGAGCTATAATCAAATTAATCTAGTTCACTCGATCGACTTCCACAGTAATGGCCTTCAGTAAAGCATAGACCAATGATGAGTCTGTACTGTACTCGCATTATAGCTAAATTAAATGGAGCATGGCTTCAAAGCAGTGAACAAAGCAAGGGACTGCAGGGGTCACTCAGTCAGCAAAGCATGAACATCTCGGTAAGGTCTGATGAGTCAGATCTACTTCACAATGTCTAGATCTATGTACACAGCCTTGAATTCATGACATTTCTTTCCATTCATTTACTTTATCCTTCCACTGGAGACCTCATTAATTCTCTTTCTGAACCCATGATCTCCTGTTGTCCACATCAGTTATGGTACCTATAAAGTTCTCAATGACACTGTTAAAAGATTTCAACATTGACACCCCGAGCTCGTTGCTGGTTTCATTAATGTCTGGATCGTAGGCCCCCATGAGGGGGGTGCACACCTCCACATTCCCCCTGCCAGCTCCTTCCAGGATGCCCATCAGGTGGCCCCTGACTTCTTGAAACAACTCCTTGTTGTAATGCAGTAGGACTGAATCTTCAAGAGGATAAGTGACATCCTCAGAGTAACACTCACGGGGGACTGGTACCTCTATGTACTTCAGCTTAGGAAAGCCTTCAGACAACATGGAGAATAACCTTTTAAGGGCTACAGAAGTCAGAGGGTTTCCCAGGAGTTTGAGCTCCTCCAATGACTGACAGCCAGATAGAACATTAATGAAGGCATTCATGTGCTCGTCCTCTATGTTACACTCTTCAAGTGCCAGGCTAACTAATGTGGCTGAGCATCGGCTGAGCAGTTTATGGAAAGATGTGGAGAAAGTGCTGAAGATGTCATGCCCACTGATGTCCAAGCGGACCAAGGCCTCACTGTGGAGGCTGTTGGCCAGGTATGTCATGTCGATGCGGTTCAGGCAACAGTTAGCCAACTCTAGGCACTGCAGTGGAGTGTTGAGGGGACTAGGTAAAGAGAACAGGTAAATGGAAATTGGTTATGGTAGCAAAAAAATAATGGCTGCTTTTGCAAGAGAATTTAATATTTGTAAAATAACCCATACACATCTGGTAAAACCACTTGGTAGCTGACCAGTCTCTGATAAACACTGCCTGACGGACACATTTCTATATCCCCAGAACAATTCATTGCCTAATCTGACAGCTGTTGTTTTGCTCTGCTTTCATTCCATGTGAACTGTGAATTACAGTATATCCACTGGGTTTCTGGCCAACCTGCAGCTGTCTGTCCTCATACTGGCATTATATCTGCAGTGTTAAGAACATTGTTAAACAAGAGCTTTAAAGCTGCAATATACTGTGACACTGATTTAAGGGGATTATTGTGAGTTACAGTAAAGCTCTTGCTGCAGTGTGCATGTCAGATGGACATAAGAGCCATCACTCAGCAGTGTTCATCAAGTCACAAGGTGTAATTAGTTTATATAAATGAACAAACAAGGACACCTCTTTTTTTATCTCCCCATCTGCCCATTTACTCACCTAAGCAGTCTGCGTAGGTGTCCAGTGAGAGTTGAGAAACCAACATAGAGCTCAGTCAGTCTTCTCAGCCGTGACAGCAGACTGCCGATGGTGGCCAGCAGATCATCATCATCAGAGCCCAGCCTCCTAAAGTCCAACGCTCCAGCCGGCAGGCTCAGAGACTGTAGTCTGGGGAATTCCACCCTGGACAGCAACACTTCCAGATGTGCGGCCTCCAGTGGAACATTGTGCACCACCTCCAGCTTTATGATGGACTCAGGTTCTGCTAGTCGAAGAACATAAAAGAGCTGCTTGAGAGCTAGGGAATCAGCTCGAAAACTAACAAAGCGAAGCTTCAGTGGACAGTGGCAGCGGAGGACTAAGGCCTGAGCCACCAGCTCATAGTTGCGGCCTGTGACGAAGCCGTTTAGGCGGACATCGACAGATGTTTCAAGGGCAGACTGGGACACATCACTGGCATGCATGGCCACCATAGTTTCATAGCACATTTGAGTCAGGAGCTGGGTTCGTGCCCATCGACCCAGGGTGGACCGGCAGGGACAGGCCTGGTGCTGAATGTCCTTTAGGGCAGTCAGGTCAACTACATGCAGGATCTTGGCATAAGTTCTTGGAGGAGACAGCACATAATCCTTTAGAAAACAAGAGTTAGGCCACACTATGAGAAGTGAAAAATATGGTACAGGAAAATGCAAATATAGAACAAGTATGAGAGATATATGATTATGCACACACGTTAAACGCAAAACTACCTTTAAGCCTGTTAGAACTGCCTTCAGACAAATGTGGCAGGTGCGTGAGGTGAGGTCCAGTTGACAGTCGGTTGTCTTTCCCAGGAGTCTTTGTAGGCTGAGCTCAGGAAGAGGCCATGTCTGGACCAGAGCATGCAGAAGATCAGCCTCTTCATGGAGGTAGCAGGCCTTGAAGAGAAGTGGGTAGAGATTAAAAGACACACAGTTGAGGTTCTCCAGAGTACTTGGACCAGTCCTGATGAAGCCCTCAGCAGCAAGGAAACGCAGCGATTTCATGCTTTATCCCTGGTTGTTTCTCTGTGGGAGCTGCTGTCAAACAGCTCTGTGTTAGAGTTATGTCTCCTTTGTGTTTTTCTGTTTTGCTGATATCCTCTGTTGCTGTTGGTCTGGGCGCTGTGCACTTGTCTGGGACTAGGCAGCAACAGGCCAACAAATCACGTGGTGGGTAAGAGGGTTGAGGTTATTTATGGAAACAGCTGTCTCACGCCCTTCATTGGGCACAGGGTCTATTTGCAACTTTTGCCAGGAACAATTTATTTGAATGCCACTGGGAAGCCTGTCACTATATCACACCACCTCTCTGTGAGGCCTGCACTCCACAGGAGTTGTGAGGATGGAAGAAAACAACATGAGAGCAGAAATAGAACAGAAATACCATGAATGTGGGCCTATGCCCCCTGAATGTTTTGCTGATATTGAGTAAATACTGTTTTTGCCTGATTGTAACATAAAGAATGAACTGTGAAATTATTCATGGTGCATGATTCAGTAAATAAGAATTGAATTTATACATTTATGACAATTTCACCAAAAACTGAAACATTTTGAGCTTCATAACCACAGATGTTAAGGCAGAGGTGGTGCACTGAAATGCATATAATAGTACAGGTGTACCTAATAAAGTGGCTGGTGAGTGTATAACACAATACAGTGCACTGTTACATCACATTATAGTTAAAGCTGTAATCTACCTGAGATGAAACTGTCAACATTCAGATATTGAATGACCTAGGAAGTAAATGTAAACTTACACAACTTTGTTTGCATTAGATAACAGTGCCTTAACCTGATTATACCAAACATCTAATACAGTGTAAAGGAGGTGATGCAGTGACCTGATGAGTTGCAGCAGACCTCCCAAGCTATCACACTTTGTGGTGATAATCTACCAAGCTATCTCATATGTTCAAAATACCTTCACGAAGGGTGGTAGTAGTGATGGTGATGATGGTGCTCATGTCTCTGGACCAAGGGGATGCCACAGGAAGGCTGAAGGTTGGAAAATATTTCCCTGTCTTTCCCTGCTATGTGACTAAGTTGCGAGGCAGCATTTTGTACACTGGAGCGAGGCCTCTTGCTGTGGGAATGCTGGAGGACACTGTGTGCTGGAGGGTGAGACATGGAAGCAGTATGCTTGCAGGACTTTCTCTCTCCTCTGCTCCTGTAATTCCCCACTAATGTGGTCTTACTTTTCAGGGAGTGAAACACAGAGACCTCTGAGGGGCTCAGCGGAGATGCAGTTCTCACTTGCTACCACTGTGTGGTGCTGGAGAGCAGAATGAGTGTGTTGTCTGCGATGTGGAGAGGATGACTGGATAAAAGATGTCAAGTGTTTTCCAAGTTCAAAATGAAGTGCTTATATACTGATAGGTAAAGAGGGTGTTTTTATGCCTGTACTGTCAGACTAGATCCAGATAGTGGTTTCTGCATTCTATTGTTTCATCCACACAGTAGAGGCTCCTTACTGAGCTTCCTACACTCTGAGATGCACTTGGCTCCTTCTCTGCTGCTAGTTTCAATGAGATAAGGACATTATCATCACAGAAGTGAGTTGTCACTGTAGTTTAAGCCCCACTGTGCTGGAACAAGTACCGGTTTTGGCACAGTGGTGCTTTCAGTTTTCACTGTTTAAAAAATATTTATGATTTCTAGAGTCACAGTAAAAATGTTATATGTATGTCGGATCATGTCTGGGCAGGTGGTAGGATTTATAGCACATTTGATCTTCAGGGATGTGTGGCCATTATAAGGCCACTTGACAGATGCCTCTAGAACCTCATACATGGAGTGTATCCAATGTGTCTTATAAAGCACTGTAAATTTGAGTTATTTAAATATTAAATGAAAAAGCAAGCTACCTCCTTTGTGACCTTGCCCCAGTCATCAAAACTGTACAGTGTGAAGAAAGATTCCTCTTCAGGCACCATGTTATACTCTGTCTGATATGTGCACATATAAGAATAAGAAGCTTATTGCTACTTGTAATAAACATTTAGATGAATCATTAGATATTTTGGGAAATACGCTTATCGACTTCCTTTCTGAGTTAGATTAGAAGATCAGTAACATTACCTCTGTCACATATGTCCACTAAATATCAAGCTGCAGTCAGAAGCCTGAAATTTTGCTTAGCATAAAGACCGGAAACAAGGGGAAACAGCTAACTTTTGTTTTGTCTGAAAGTCATAAATGCCACTTTCCAACATATCAACCTCATTAATTTACATGACATATCTATTTTGTTTATTGTACACAAAAAACAGCAGCGTGTTGTGGTTTTGTGGGGGATGTATGTGGAACACACACGCTGCAACACATAGAAATAAATGGGTTCAATAGTGGAGCACAGCACCCACCGTGTCTTATCTGAAAGGTGTTCAGTGTGTCATCAAGCCATGCTTTCTGCCCCACCCCAAAAAACTATTTAACTCCACAATTCAGCACTACACAGTTCTGTCTTTTCACATTTTCATCAACTATTTTCTAATATTGATAATATCTTTAGAAACAAATCACTGACTTTAACTTTAAATTGGTATAAATCGTTTTGCTGGACCTACAGTATGTAGAGTTTTGAATATGTTTAAATAATATAGTTGTTCATCACGTGTGTGCATTTACATGCTCAGGAAACCTCTTAGCGCATGTCCCAGCATAGCACTGATAGAACACTAGTCACTACTGCAGGGTTCTGAATGACTTGCTTCACTGAATTCTGAAATCTTTATGTATGATTGTAACGCCATATTCAGGTGAAAATGATGTCCTGACAACCTTTTTTTTCCCTACATCAGAAACATCATCTGAGACTTGTTTTCAGTGTCATACAAGAACACAGACACCACTGCAGAGCACCATGATAATCACAGGAAGCTGGAACAACAAAAACATCTTCAGTGCACCACTGCATCTCATGGACTTTCACAACATTGACAATTAAAACACTCATGTCACAGTTAATTACTCTTTCATTGTAATATTATTTTATTGTTACCATAATTAGGCTATTTACAGCTTAATTCACAAAAGGCAAATAGAGAGTCAAACAAAAGACATGTTGACTTACTGCCCAGGCAGCCACACAATGAATGAATGAATTTTTTTAACAATGAGAGACAAAAAAATCAATGAAAATTAGCTTTTTTTGTAAATGAAATACAAAATAGTCCAATGTTTCACCTGGTTTCTGATGTATCAAATTACAATTCATCTTTAATCTGAAGTAATGGCTGTAGGTAAGAACGGTTTGTGTTTTCATTATATTAAGTAAATGTACAAATGTCTGTTCAAAAGCAACAGATTGGGTCCATATCAAAGTACTGTTAACTGCTGCCACCCACAGACTCTTTGACAGTGAGGGCTGGTGTGGGTCCTATGTGGGTCCAGATGTAACCTTTTTCTGTTCGGATGGGGATCGTGGGAAATGGAGAGCTCCGTGACTTGAAATACTCAGAGGGGGCATGACATACAAACTCCAGGTACTCCATCTTTCTGGGCAGATCCTCTTCTGGACCTGGAAAAAAAAAAAACAACAGTCCTTAAATTGTCACATAAAAGGCCTAAAAATGACAAAGTTCTCATTTGTCACTGCTCACCAACAATGTATGTGCCGGGGTCAAAGTGGTTCTTTGGGCTGGCCTGTGTGGGGATTAACCAGGTCAGTGCTGCACTCTTTTCACAGTATTGGTCCTGCACAAAGCCTCGAATCTGAGCATAGTATGGCTTCCCGTCCTCTTCATCTGTTACTTTGATCACGTCTCCTGTCTGGTAGTACACACCCTGTGGGTACAAACAGACTGAGAATGACTACAGTTTGGCTCCTTCTCTCACGTTTTACATGGAGAAATGCTAACAACAGATAAGAAAATAAAGTATATGACAACATTATCAATTCTGATACTGAAGTGAAATGTGTGATTATTTTTGTTTACCAACATAAGATACCTTATAAAATAAAGATTCTGAAGTGATGATTGTTGCAACAGATTCTGGTGCTTTGATTGGCTATAGAAAGAGATCACACACAAAGGTCAATACATACAGTAAATTCATAATGATGCGCAATGAAAGAAATTGCTGATAAAATCCATCTTTAACTTACATTTTTCAACTTGAATATGTGTCTTCTTCCTTTCCCCTTTGTTGACACTTTCTTCTCAGATGCAGGAGCTTTATACTTAGTGCTTCTCAACCTTGCAGATCTCCTGTGGATCTCCTGCTTTGACTAAACACAAAACACGTTATCAGTTATTTAGATGCTCTCATTCCATGTGAACTGTGAATTACAGTATATCCACTGGGTTTCTGGTAGTTAATCAGTTTTTTGTGTTTGCTCGTTGTGTACATTTGGCTCCGTACATTTAACCCAGATGTATGGGTGTTTGTTTTACTTTTGTGGATACTACCTTTGAAAACACCAAAGTATGAGTGTACCCACAACAATCAGGCCGTGTTACAGAAACGTGTACACAGGGTAACCAACCTGCTTGCCCCCGCCATTGCTGGGCTGTGTAGTGGAGGACACAGAGGGTCCCGATGTTCCGCCGCTACCGCTGCTCTTTCCTGTGCAGTTGTTACAGAGGATTTCTCCCTGGTTCCCTTTCTTCCACATCGACGAAGAGTTCGTCTTGCAGACAGCGCAACTTGGTTTCAAGCCCAGAGGCATCGTTGACGGTCAGAAAACGACGCCGGGGTGCGATGAAATGAATAACACTAGTCCAACAACGAGCTCAGTCGGCTCCAGCTAACTGTTTATCGTCAATAATACATAGCACCATACAACAGTTAGACTTTAGTCAGCTAGCTACTGACGATAGCGTTAAATTAAAATTTGTATATCCAAATCATCACCGCTACAAGCGCCATTGCTTCTTCTTCTTCTTCTTCTGTGCTATCACCTGACATTGGCTCTTCTTCGGTGGTTGGGGTTCGTGGAAAGTCAAGCATCGGCACTGCCCCAAACTTAGTTTGTGAAGAACTGTTTAGAAATGGTGAAGGTGTTTTAAAAACATTGGCCCCCGATGAAGGAATTTGTTATTTTATTAAACCGCTTATTTAGAGTATTAATTCGCTCAAGATATTCACATACTTTTTGCTGCATCTTGATTTGGTTTGTTTGTAGGTAGGCAGGCTACGGGACTAGTATGAAAATCGGAGGGATTGTGGTTTTAGAACGGCAGCAGGAGCAATGACATGATAAGTAAACCATAACAAAAATGCTAAATAGACTAGGGAAATGCATTTCCTGTAGAAAATGCGTGTGGATGCAATGTGCTGAAGGATTGCCATGAGAATGCTGAACATTTTGACACCAGAAAGGCATATCTACCTGAAAGTATACTGAAGTACAATTTTCCCATTAATTTGAATGGGGGGAAATTTTCAGATTAAAGCTAAATATTTCAGAAGTGGGAACTGTATAAAAATTCTGAGTCGAAGCATGAATGTCATGGGAGACTTGAACATTTTAATAGCCGAAAGAGCTGAAAGTATGCTTAAGCAGAATTTCCTGATTCATTAGAAAGGGGCAAACTTTTCAGAATAAATATTTTAAAAGAGTGATGTTTTGAAAAATTGTTAATAGCATGGATGTCCTTGAAAAGCTGAACATTTTTAGACCCAAAATAGATGAAGGCATGCTAAAGTAGAATTTTCCCATTCATTTGAATCAGGGAAAACTTTCAAAATAAAGCTAAATATTTTCAGAGGTATGAAGTTTAGAAAAATTCTGAAAAAAAAAATGAATGTCCTTGAAGAGCTCAACATTTTAATAGCTGAAATGGCTGAAAATATAAGGAAGTAAAAATTTCCCCATTCAAATGAATGGGGAAATTTTTCAGAATAAAGCTGAATATTTTAAAAAGTATAAAAGTTACAAAAAACTTGTATACATCCGCGCATCTCCTGAAAAAGCCGAACATTTTGATACCTGAATGGCTTTTCTAGCTGAAAGTATGCTGAAGTAGTTACGTGCCAAAAAAAGAACGGAAGAATAATAATAACTAGAAAACTGTTGAAAATGCATGTGTGGATGCGAATTGCTGTAAGATCGCCCTTAATATGCTGAAGACTTTGACACCTGAATGGTTTTGCTAGCTGAAAGTATGCTGAAGTAGAATTTCCCCATTCTTTTGAATGGTTTTGAAGTTTAGAAAACCTTTGAAGAGAA